TGGGAGTTTTCCCTGGCTGAGGGCAGAGGTCTCTGGAGGTGAGGGTGTCTCTGGAGGTCTCCAGGGTGTCTCTGGAGCAGAGGGCTGAGCTCCAGAGGTCACTGCTCTGTCCTGGTCCCACTGCACTCCCACGCCCCAGCTGAGGGTGGCTGTGGCAGCCACTTCACTGCAAGCAAATGTGCTGCAGCACTTGTTCTCCACACCATCTCCTTGCTGGATGTGGATCCTCTCACATCCCTGTAAATTGTTGCCCCCAGGAAAGAAAGCCCACAGCCTCAGTGTCTCAGGTGCAGATGATGGGCCTCCCAGGGCACTCCATGGGCAGCAAGACCTTTGTCCTGGCCCTTTTTGTCCAGCAGTGATCTTTGGCTGTTGTAAGACCCCAGTCCCGAAGCCTCAAGCTTTACTGGGAGTATTACTTATATTTAAGATTCAAAAATTTTTGTTTCTTCATCCCTCTACTGTTCCTAACATCTTTGACTACTGCTTTCCTCCTCTCTATTTCTCCCTCCTCTGACAGTTTCACATGTAGTTACCTCAAAATTCTTCTTGGGAATCTATTCCAATCCACCTCCAGAGAGGTGGGAACTCTACTGAGGCAAAGTGATGTTGTAATAAGGCCTCCATCAACACAGGGTCTGTCCATAGGAGAAGTCCAGGGTTCAGAAAATAGCAAGAGAAGTGTTCTGGAAAGGCCGAACCATATTTGTAATGATTGTTATAAAAAAATACAAGCTTTAGTGAAAGCCACTCTGGGATATCCCCTCCCAACTTCCTTTGATCAGCCGGGGTTTGAGGAGGGGAGCTGGATTTGCTCCCAGGGGAGCAGCCTCAGCAGGCAGAAACCCCACAGAGCAAGGCAGAAATAAAGATCACTGGCAGTCACTGGGTGGGATTGCCTGTAGAATTCCTGGAAAGAGAGCAAAGAACCTGTCTGCCAGGAAAGCACATGGCAATCCCTGTGCTCCTGCAATCCGTGCTCCCGTGCCAGGAGCTCCACTGCCAAAACACCCACTGGCCCAGGGCTCTGTGGGTGTGGGGAGAGGGGGAGAGGTTCAAGATTCAGGGGTATGAAAGTGAATATAATTATATGACATTTATAATTATAAATATATCTTTCACAGAGTAACAGGAGAATTGTTTCCAGGGCTATGCTACAGATTTGGGAGACAAAAGACGCTGGGAAGATGAAAGGTGCAAGGAAATTCCCTTCTTTCTTCACAGCTGTTTCTGAAAGGTGGCAGAAAGGGGGAAAAAAGTCATCCTACAGCCTTATTCCTGTGCTGAAAGTTACCCTTTTTCAGGGGATAATTCTCCAGAGTTGACCAGCTCCCTGAAAACTGCTCTTCCCCATTTGTTCCCACATTTGCTATTCCTGCTCCAGAGGAAAGAGCAAGTGCACTGATGCTGGGCTGAGTCCTCAAGCACTGCCAGCAGGGCAAAACCTCTCTTGTTGTGTTGAAAGCTGAATGTAGGAAAAGAGGGGCAGAATGCTCACCTTGAAAATATACATATACATATATTTAATAAAGAATTTTACAGTATTATTTCTTTTGCAGCTCATTTTTGCTCTGCCAGCTGAAACCTCTGTTCTGGGACTGACCAAATTCTAGCCAGAGTGATGAAGAATAACCAAGGATTTGGATCGTGTCAGTGTTTTCTAAGAGGATTTGTCATTATTGAAAAGACTGGATGATTGAGATGGTCTTTGCCAGTGGAATAAGATCAATTTGGCCACAGCAAAGGAAGAGTCTGTCACCAGAATGCAGAACTCTTCCTCCAACAGGCAAGGGAAAGGTTGAGGTGAAACCTCATGAACGTTTTGTGTGTAAAAAACTCTTTTTTCTGATATGTCTCCTACCAGACAAATCACTTGTGCCCATCTGTTCAGGCAAAATGAGTTTTGTGGCCCTAAGGTGGTCCTGCTCCTGCTCATCTGCAAGGAAATAATTCCAGGTCAGGCTCTTCCCAGGAGGAAGCATCTCAACAGTTAAGAACCAGGAGTCTCTTGGCATCATGTCCTGTTCAAGCCCTGTTCTTTGTCTGCATTGGGGCCCTGGCTCCCTTAAGTAAATAAATATCTACTTAATCTTAACACTACACATTTCAGTGCTTTCCTGAACAGAATCCACAGTAAAAATTCATGCCTGTTCTTACTCTCCCAGTGAGCTCTGAACACCCCCCCACACACACATGTATTTCGGGCTCGATGGTTCCTGGGGGTCCCTCCCAGCTCAGAATATTTGGTGATTCTGTGATTTCCCCAGAATTTAGAATTTCAACCAAAGTCACACAATCAGACCGTGAGTTTATACAATGTTTTTCCTTTTCAGATTGCTTCATGAGGGGAAACGTAGGTGAGAGATACAGAAGGAATCCTCCCCTGTGAGGGTGGTGAGGCCCTGGCACAGGTTGCCCAGAGAACCTGTGGCTGCCCCATCCCTGGAAGTGTCCAAGGCCAGGTTGGACGGGGTTTGAAGCAACCTGGGCTGGTGGAAGGTGTCCCTGCCCATGGCAGGGGTGGGATGGGATGAGCTTTAAGGTCCCTCCAACCCAAACCATTCTGGGATTCTGTGATTGCAGGAACTTGAACAGTGTCTGACAAGTGGAGAGAGAGAAAGAAGGAGTGTGAAATGAGGAGCCAGTGGGCAGCAGCTGGAGCAGGGTTCTATGGAGGGCACAGGCAAGGAGCAGGCTCCTGGCCTGCCTGTGTGACAGGGTGACAGGCAGGAAGGTTCCTCTACAGGCTAATGTAGAAAGGCCAGAGTAGACATCACATTGGTGAACAGTTTCTCCATGAATGCTCAAACTGGGGCTTTTCTCAGGACTGGAATCCACCCTGTCCTGGTCAGTGGATGTATTCCAGAGGTTTCTTGCTGTGCTTCAAGAGAGAAAGCACATCCTATCGAGGTCCCAGGAGCCAGGCCAGCTGTGAAATCACTCTGTGACACAGCTCCTACCCTGCTGCTTCAGGTGTTCGACTCATGGCATTCCCAGTGAGGGAGTAAAATGAAGGAACACAGGCAAGAAACAGGGAAACTGCAGGAAATCAGGACTGCTCCCAGCCCGAAGCACCCGGCTGAGGAGATGGATCCCAGGGAGGAGTCAGGCCCGGGGAGCTGCTGCCTTCCCACTTCAGGGCAGGAGCAGATGAGAGCTGAAGCTCCCAGCTGGCTGGACACACCTCACACATGTTATACCTGCTTCCTGGCCTGCCTTTGAGGGTGGATTAACGTGACTAATTAATAACACACATTCCCTCTGATAAAGACAGGGAGCATCTGGTTCCTTTGGGAACCCCCCATTTCACTGGGTACTTAACTTTCCCAACCTCATGCAGAGCAAAGAGTTGGACACACAGTCCTGGAACTACTGTCCTAAGCACTGGGCCACAGTTTTGGGTGTCCACATCCCAGTCTTTCCTGAAGATTGCAACCCAAATTCAAGGGAAGAGCTCCTTCAGCATTCTAAGCCCAGAAAGCATCAAGATTTTAACCAAATCCATCCTTTTCCAGTCAGACTTCTGCAAAACCTGGATTGAATGGAGTCAGAGTTCTGTTTTATGGCTCTGGGCAATGCCTAAACATGAGCAATGAATCAGATGACTCATGGGGGAAAGATAAAGGTTCATACGTAAACACCAAAAAACTCTCAAATCTGTTGCCCTGGGATATTTCCTGTTACAACAATAGCTTGGTAACTGTGGAATTTAACGTTTGCCCCCGAGCAAACTTGTTTCACTTCGGATCTTTTTGGCATGTCAAGACATGGGAGAATTGGGAAAAAACACAACAAACGGATTAAAAATTAAACCACCCTGTCACTGCCTTTTCTGGGTGCTGGGGTGAGCAGATAGTCACAAAAAATAGGTTTCTAACTCCTTCCCTCCTTCCCCAAGTTCATGTAAACACTGCCAGGCAATTAAAAAGTTGTTTTGGTTCCTGTTGTTTTGGTTCCAGTCCTCTTACCCAGGGAGGCAGTTTGTTTCCAGCTTGGAGCTCAGTGGTTTAGTCCCCATGGTGTAACAGGGTCCTCAGACTCTTGCTAAAATACCTCCAGCAGCATGAAACCTTCCCCAATTCCCCTGCAGCCAGGGCTGGTGGCACAAGCCCAGGCCAAATCTGCAACGTTTCTCTTTAACAATGCAATCCTTAATCTCTTTTTATTTAAAGGAATGAAACACCTGTAATATGGTAAAAATACTGATGGTCACTTGGCCATTGCAGCCAAGAGCCCGGTATTTGCCATAACTCCTGAATTTGTTACTTAAAAGTGTAATTTAGTCCATATATTGCAGAGATCCAAAATATCCACTCACTTTTAAATTAGAATTTACTACAGGCTCACCCAGCAAAGAAGCTCGAACTTCTCCCAGCATCTCTTCACAAAAACTACTTCACAACAGAAATACCAACTTCATCAACTATTTCAATTAATGATCACCCAGTAGAACCATCTGGTTATGAGGATTGTGCCAGAGCCCTCAATTTTCTCCTCAAATATCCCAGCTGTCTTTAACTGCCAATCCTGCAGGTTTCCCCACCTGCCATCCCATTCCATGTAACATTTTAAAAGCTTTAAATCAGAGAAATTCAGGTCAGATGAAGAGGCCTGCATCAGTCTGGAGCACAAAAGAGGAGTGTAAATACTCCCTTTTCCCTGTTGAGATTAAAATTGGGATTTTAGAGACCCACATAATGCATCCACTGTCTGTGAGAAATTCCCCAAATCCCACACATACGTTTTGGATAGTGGAAAATGAGGTACTGTCATCAACATCTGGAACCACAATTTAGGAAGACGTTGTGTAACTTTCCCCATGACTGAAACAGCTGAAGAAAACGAAGCCAAGCTGTTCCCAGCCAGGGTCAAAGACAAGGCAGAGATTAATCCTTTTCTGCTCCCAGAAAAGCCCTCCCGAGGTCTGTGTTCAGCTCTATCAGCTAAAGAACTGCCAGTGGAAATAAGACACTCAAGAAAGGAAAATTAGTCACTAAAACGTCATTAAAGGGTTCTTTTATTCCATCTGTAAAAAAGATACACAGAGCTCAATGAAGGGATCGTTGGGTGAAATTATCTGACTTGCACTTGGCAGGGACACCTTCCACTATCCCAGGTTGCTCCAAACCCCATCCAACCTGGCCTTGGGCACTTCCACCTGGCTGCCACCAAAAAGACTTGTTTCTGAAGGAGGAATAAAACCACACAAAAAGAGGGAAACACTGTCATGGCTCAAAAGAATTCAGGTTAAAAGTTGCTGGTTGATTCAGACATCCCCCAGGCCATGAGGAACCAGGCTCCTCCCCACCCTCCACCTCCTCTGTTATTAAGCTGCATATTTTAAACAAAAACTTGAATACTTTTCACCTATTATGGCAAAGGCTCTAAGATCTCCTCAGTCTTAGGGAGCTTTTTTTACTATCAAAGCACAGATTCAATATTCCCAGATATTGTACCCTGTGCTTTGCTGAACCCTCTGCTCCGAGCTGGAGGCTTGAGCTCACTGACAACATTCCCAAAATCACAACCAAGTGAACTGTCAAGTTTTTCTCCAGATAAGTTCATTTTTAAAATCCTATTCAGGCACCTGGGTTGAAACAGTGTTGAATACCCAACAGCACTTTCTCACTAATTATCAACCACACAGATTAAAAATTTCATACAGAACATTAATAAACAATGGAAGCATCCAAAATCCTGAATTACCCATCAAACCTACATAAAAATACAGAATAATCCAGAGATCCCTGCACTCCTACACCAGCCCCCTCCACACTGGGAATTTTAAATTAGCTGAATTAATTTTCCACAGCTTTGTTACGCCCCACGTTTGCTGAATTCATCACCAAAACTATCTTTATCGTGTCAGCTGGGATATAGAGATAGGGTTGTCATGGCTGGGTGTCCCAGAGTGACAGAGACCACGTTTGGCACTGAATTCCAAAGAGGAGCCTCAAATACTTCAGTGGTGCTCACACCTCTCATCCAGCACCAGAGGACGTAGTCTCAAGCTGCTCCAGGGGAGGTTCAGGGTGGACATCAGGAGGAATTTCTTCATGGAAAGGGGGATTAAACGCTGGAAGAGGCTGCCAGGGGCAGTGGTGGAGTCCCCATCCCTGGAGGTGCCCAAGGAAGGCCGTGGCACTCAGAGCTCTGGGCTGGGGACAAGGCGGGGATGGGTCGAAGGTTGGACTTGATGATCCTGAGGGTCTTTTCCAGCCTCAGTGATTCTGTGATTCTATAAAATTGTGTTGTTAAAAAGTCTGCACACAACAGAGCAGAAGTGGCTGAAAACTAAACTGGGTGGGATTTAGCCTCATTCCAAAGGCGTGGCTGCCCAGGATGGATCCAGGTACAGCCACAGAGTGACTGTTCATCCACTGTGACTGGTCTGTGCTGCAGGAGAACCCGGGACTGGCCTGGCTGTGTCTGGGGGTGTCCCCGAGGAACACCCAGCCAAGGACAGGACAGTCACTGGGAGTGAGAGGCAAAGGAATGAACAAAAACGGGATTTTGAGGGAGAATTGGGGAACACAGACGCAGGACACGACTCCCTCAGTTCCTCGGTGGAGGCAGCAACAGGCAGTGTGACAGTGTTACCCTGGAAACTGCTCTGCCCAGCTCCTGCCCTCCCAGTGCCAACTGCGTTGCCATGGAAACCCGTGTCACCGCCGATGTGGAACAAAGGATGGGAAACTGCAGCCAGAAGTCCCCTTCTCCCACCCTCCCTCCGCACACGACAGGCGAGGTACGCCTGGAACGTGAGGCAGAGAGGGGTTTGCCTCCCTCGGAGCCAGAAACTTCTTAAAAATACCTGCCCCATAAGTCAGTTTGGGTCTGTTGCCATCCCAGTGCATCTCATGGTGCTCCTGCCCTGGTTTTATTCACCAGGGAAGTAAATCAGGACAGGAGATGTGCAGCTCCCTCCAGCAATACGTGCAAAAGGATCTGCAAAGCCACCAAGAGGTAAACTTAATAAAGATCAACCCCTTGATTAGGATTTTGGGAGAGTTTACCCTCCTGTGGTCCTGGAAACTTCCCCACACGTTCCCATGGGGAGTAATATCTGCTGTGTCCCCTCAGAAAGGATGAGCTCTTTTGGTTTAGGCAGATAATGAGATCATCCACGGCTCCACTGGATCAGATTAAACATGGATAATGCTCTGAATCCTCCTGCTTTAGAGACGACTGTGAGATGAAGAGGATGAGGAAGAAATTGCCCCATGAGCACTTTATTCCACCCTTGCCCAGTAAAGGATTTTCACAGAGCTGCTGCTGAGCTCCTGGCCACTGTCCCATCCCACTGTCATGTGGGATACGCTGGGCACGAATGGATCCTGCTTCTGAACTTCCACCAAAGTCCCCCAAAATCTCCTCTTGGCTTCCATATTCCTCACTTGACTCTCGTGTTCTGGTGCTCAGCTTCCAACAGAGCACTTCTGTCAGTCATGGGAACACTTCTCTGAGCTCATTAAAGCACTTAATTAAGACGCATTGATTCTGCCTCACCTCCAGCTTCTGCTTGGTGTCAGCTCCCAGAAGGTCTCATTGCAGATCTCCAGGTAGGAGGCTCTCCTCGGGAACTCGGCACTTCCAGCACACTGCAAACACAGGGAGGATTTCGGGGTGAGGTCCTCCCAGCACAGGCACCCACGGAGCTGCTCCTGCAGCCGGGTGCCCACTGCCCTGCGGAGATCCCTGCCGGCATTTCATTCCCGGGTGGAGCCACTCGACACATCCACTGCAAGGGACCTTTGTGCCTTGAACACCTCGGGTCCACCAGTCAGCAGGGAGGAGGATGCAGCTGCTCTGCCTGTGTACAGGCCTCAGCTTCAGGGCAAGAGGCAGCACACCCCAAACCCTGTCCCCGTTTGTGCCCCGGTGTGCCCTGCACTCACTCCTTGGGATGTGACACCAAACAAAGCCTTTCTGGTAAAACCCTCTCAACGGGATCTCTCTCCCAGCCACCTGTATGCTCTCGAGGATGTGTTCAATCACTCTGGAATGATCCCCTTCTGTGAGGAAGGATCCACGACCCCTGTGTGGTGAATGACTTCCCGCTGGCCGTAGGCAAAGATGGTGCCATTGTAGCCCTTGGTGGCACCCTGGAAATGGGGGAAAACCAAATAAGATAGCCATCCATCCTTTGCCTAACTGGGAATGCATCATCCAGACTCCATCCCACCTCCCGAAAGGTATTTTAAAAGAAGAGCTGGAAGTAAACATCAAACAACTGCCTGATCTTCGCTTGCCACCAGAGTATAATTATTAAGAAATTAGCATATAAATCAATGTTTTTCTCTCAAAACTGGAAATCTTGAAGCAATGCAGGTGTTGCAAAGCAGTTGACAACACTTAGAAAACCAGAATGTTTTTATGATAGGGCATAAAAATCTTATGAAACCCAGAGTGACAATAAGAACTGTGGTTGGTTGTGGAGGTCCAAAGGGATGATCTTTAGCTTTGAATGATTTTCTCTCAGCAAGCTGCTCACTGTCACTTCTTCCTATTTCAGAGAAGCATGGTAGGAACAGAAAATACTTGCATTTCTTAAGGTTTAAATAAAAAAAATGAACCTATTAATCTAATAATCTGCTGTGTCAGACTCTGCTTGTTCTCACAATCAGGAACTTCTATCTTAAAGCCTTCATGAGCCATCTAGTCCATGTTTCTTCTTCTAACAAAATTGGGTTTTTGAGGGAGGTTGGGCGTTTTTTGCTCAACTGGTTCTTTCTCATTCCAGCTGCTTTCCATGCTGAGGTGTTAACAAGGAAATAAAAAGATCCCCTCTCATTTTGTCAATCTAAGCCAGGCTGAGGTTCCCCATCTTCTCTAAGGTTTCTCTCACTTGACAGTAAAAATGTCCATAAAATCATCAGGAGTCTTGTTTGTCCCCTTTCTTCTCTAGGGCCTGTTCATGAGAACCTCTGCTCTGGAGCCAGGCTGGGAGAGCTGGGGGGGTTCACCTGGAGAAGAGAAGCTCCAGGGAGACCTGAGAGCCCCTTCCAGTGCCTAAAGGGGCTCCAGGAGAGCTGGAGAGGGACTGGAGACAAGGGGTGGAGGGACAGGACAAGGGAATGGCTTCCCACTGCCAGAGGGCAGGGTCAGATGGGATACTGGGAAGGAATTCCTGGCTGGGAGGGTGGGGAGGCCCTGGCACAGGTTGCCCAGAGAAGCTGTGGCTGCCCCAGCCCTGGGAGTGTCCAAGGCAAGGCTGGACAAGGCTTGGAGCAACCTGGGACGGTGAAAGGTGTCCCTAACCATGGGAGGGAATGAGATGATCTTTAGGGTCCCTTCCAACCCAAACCATTTTGGGATTCTACGATATAAACATCCACCTAAACCAATTCAATGTAATTCTCTTCTTGGTGTTCCTGCTGGATGCTAAAAATGTTTTTTTTCTTCCCAGAGGAGGACACTGCTTGCCCTCCTCTGCACCTCAGGGTTGCAGCTAAACCTCTTGAAGTAGCAGACAGGGCTGTTTCTGTCCATAAGTCACAGAATCCCAGAATGGTTTGGGTTGGGAGGGACCTTAAAGCTCATCTCATTCCATGCCCTGCCATGGCCAGGGACACCTTCTGGTGTGGGGAAGGTCCAGGGGATCCTGTTCCACTTAGGGATCAGCTGTCCACATACAGCTCCCCAGCCCACGTCCCCAGCCACGTGTCCACAGAATCACAGAATATCCTGAGCTGGAAGGGACCCACAAGGAGCATCCAGTCCAGCCTCTGGCCCTGCACAGACACCCCAACAATCCCACCCTGTCCCTGAGAGCTTTGTCCAAACCCTCCTGGAGCTCTGGCAGCCTTGGTGCTGTGCCCACTGCCCTGGGGAGCCTGTTCAGTGCCAACCACCCTCTGGGGAGAGGAGCAATCACTCCTTTTCCTGATATCCAACCTAAACCTCCCTGACACAGCTCCAGCCGTTCCTTGGATCCTGTCACTGGGCACAGAGAGCAGAGATTGGTGCTGCCCATTGTGAGGAAGCTGCAGACCCTGATGAGCTCTGCCCTCAGTCTCCTTTTCTCCAGGCTGAACAAACCCAGTGCCCTCAGCCACTCCTTGCATGGCTTCCCCTCAAGGCCCTTCACCATCTCTGTAGCCTCCTTTGGACACTCTCTAATGGCTTAATATCTTTGTGGTGCCCAAAACTGCCCCCAGTGCTGGGTGCATGGTGTTTGCCTGGGTGCCCACTCACCTGCAGGAGCGGGTCGGTGATGTCGCTGTAGCTGTGCCCGGTGCTGTGGTTGGTGCTGTGCTCAGCTCTGTGCTCAATTCTGTGCCCAGTTCTGTGCCTGGTGCTGTGCCCAGTGCTGTGCTCAGCTCTGTGCTCTGCCCGGTGTTGTGCTCAGTTCTGTGCTTGGTGCTGTACCTGGTGCTGGGGGTGGTGTTGTGGTTGGTGCTGTGCTCAGTGCTGTTCTTGCTCTGTGCTGTGCCCAGTTCTGTGCTTGGTGCTGTGCCCAGTTCTGTGCTTGGTGCTGTGCTCCTGGCTGAACGCCCCGTCGAAGGTGAGCTCTCTGGGGGCTCTCCGGGGCCGTGGGGTTCGGAGGAGGCACCAGCCCCGTGCTGCCCACGCTGACGATCGTCCAGCACCCCCAGGGCTGCCTCGTGCTCGCTCAGGGCCCAGCAGTGAACAGTCACCTTCACCACCCCCCGGCTGCTCAGCCCATACACCCCACTCACCCCACACACCCGGGTCACCCCACACACCCAGGTCACCCCACACACCTGGGTCACCCCACACACCTGGGTCACCCCACCACACCACAGTCAGCCACACACACACCTGGGTCACACCATATCCCTGGCTCACCTTACACACACACCAGGGTCACCCCCCACACGCTGGTCAGACCCACACACCCAGGTCAGAACTCACACAACCTGATCAACCCCTCACACCCAGGTTGGCCCCACACACTTGGATCATCCCACACATACCAGGGTCAGCCCCACACAACCCGATCAGCCTCTCACACCCAGGTCAGCCCCACACACCTGGCTCACCTTACATACACCCAGATCAGCCACACATAACCCAGGTCACCCCCCCACTGGGTCAGCCCCACATACCTGGGTCAGCCCAACACCCTCCTCATCCCCACACACCCGGGACACCCCACATACCCCGATTAGCCCCCCCCCCCCCGGATCGATCAGTCCCACACACCCGGACCAGCCCCTCACGGTGGGGTCAGTCCCACACGCCCGGTTCCCTCCACACTCCCGGCTTGGCCCCACAAGCGCTTGCTCGGCCGGGCTGGGGAGCACCGGTGGGCGGGGGAAGGTTGGGGCAACCCAAAGGCGGGGTCTGCTCCCCTCGGTGGGTGGGAGCGCTCGCCCCTCGCTGAGGACATGCAGGGGAAGAAGGTCCCCCGAGCCGGGGGGCTGGGGGAGAAGGGGAGAGCATGGAGGGAAAGAGCTGGGGAGGGATGGAGGGAAAGGGGGAAACTGGCAACAAACGTGAGAGGGGACTAGGGCAGGTCAGGAAGGAAAACCTGAGGGGGTCTGTGAGGGGAAATCCTGAGGGCAGGAAACCCTGGGGCAACTTTTGGGAGCCGGGACAAGCCGAAGGGGGGCTGAGCGAGGGAAAATGAGATGCTGGTGCCGGGCAGGTCCGAGAGAGCGCAGGGGACTCCGAGGGGGTGTGGTGGGCTGAGGGTCCCGAGGGGTGAGGGAAGTGCAAGGGCACACGTGCACGTGTGCAAGGGGGACATGAGGGTGCGTGCCCGCGTGTGACAGGGGTGGGCACGAGGGCAGGCGTGCAAGAGGGGGTGCACGGGGGCATATGTAAGGGGGGCACAAGGGCACTCGTGCGAGGGGAGGTGCACGAGGACACCTGTGCACGACACAGCGCACAAGGGCACCCCTGTGTGGGATCCCTGTGTGGGATCCGGGTGCGCGGGGCCGGGAGCGTGTGGCGGCGCCGGTCCCCGGCTGTGCCAGTGCACGGGTGTGGCCCCCGCGAGGGCGAGAACCCCGTGAGGGCGAGAACCCGCGTGTGCCACCACAAGTGCGTGTGAGTGCACGACTGCAGCAGTGCGTGAGGCTGCAAGGGCGCGAGGGGCTGAGCCCGCACGTCTGTGGGAGTGCAAGTGCGCGGGCACACGGGTGTGACAGCACGAGCACAAACACCCGCTGCAGCCGTGCAAGCGTGTGGGTGCATCACGCGAGTGTGCGGGGGCTGCGAGTGCACGGGTGTGAGCTCCGAGGGGGCACACGTGTGGGCACACGGGCGTGCGACACCGCGCAGCGCGGGCCGAGTGTGAGCAGCCGGCAGAGCCCCGTCCGGATGCACAAGAGCCGTTTATTGCCGGACAGCGCGGGAGGGAGGGATGGATAAGGCAGATGGCAGCCAGTTAAAGCTCGGGGGGCCGGGGGGCAGCCGTGCACGGGGAGAGGGGGCCGGGCCTACCCTCGCTCATGCTGCACCCCGATGGGGGCAGAGGGGGCCCAGGCGGACTCCCCCCCACAGGCGCCGGCCCCGCCGCCGGGGTCCCGCTCCTCGTAGCCGGGGTTGCGGTGGCCGGGGGCCAGGCGGCAGAAGCAGCCCCCCGGCGCCCCCGAGTAGTGAGCCAAGAGGGCGGCCACGCTGGCGAACTCGGCGTTGGAGTGCTGCCGTCGGCACCGGAGCGGGAGAGAGGGCAGAGGGGAGAGGTGAGCCCCCCGTGAGGGCCGTGCAGGGATGCCCACGAGCCCGTGTGCCCACGCGGCTCTGCACCCCTAGACTGAATGTACCCCACACCAAATACCTCTGTACTCGTGCACGAGCACACTCACACCCCAAACACAGACCTGTGCCTGTGTAGCAGGTACCCACAGACCTGGGACATCCCCCTGTGATTGTGCAGCAGGTACCCACAGACCCAAGGCACCCATGTCCTGGGCACATGAGTCGAACAGAGCCGTGCACCCCCTGCCCCTGTGCACGTGTATATTGGTGTACCTGTGCCCCGTGTGTGCACACAGCTGCCCCCGTGCACTGATACACCCACAGACCAAAGGCCTGTGAGTCAGACACACCCATACACCTATGCACCACATACCATGCAGAGATGTACTCGGGCACCCACGAATTGGATGTATTTACACACCAAAGTGTGGATACACAGGTGCACCCACACCTGTGGGTACCTGTGTGCCTTGCACAGATGCACCCGTGCCCCAATGCACCCACAAAACAACGTGCCCATGCCCTGACACCCCTGTGCACCCCACACAGGTGCCCCTGAGCACTGATGCCCTTACACCCATGTGCATCCCTGCACCAGGGCACCAGTTCATCATGGACAGATGGACCAAATGCACTTGCATGGGGCATCAAATGCATGGACACACCAGTGCATCCATGTCCCGACTGTATCCATGTCCCAATGTGCCAGTGCATCCATGCACAGATGCACCGACACACCAGGGCATCCATGCACTAGTGCATCCAGTGCTTGTTCACACCAGTGTATCCATGCACAGATAGTGCATGGATAGACAGCATAGAGTGCACCCAATGCACTCACACACCGGTGCATCCATGTCCTGATGCACCAACACACCAGTGCATCAGTGCACAAATGCACCAAAGGCACTTATAGCCCCAGGGCATCCCTGCACGGGTGGTCTCAATGCACCTACACGGTGTGTCAAATGCCAGCGCATCCAAATGCCAACACACCAATGAATCCATGCACAGGCACACCAGATGCTTGTACACATTGGTGCATCCATGCACAGGGGCACCCAGTGCCCTCATACACTCCTTCCGTGCATCCATGCTCCACTGCAGCCGTGCACAGATGCACCAATACCCCAGGGCACCAATGCACAGATGCAGAAAATGCCCTTTTACCCCAGTGCACTCCCACAAGACACATCACGTGCACTTACCCAGGTGCGACCCCGCACTGCTGCAGCCCCGCAGCAAACACACTCGTGCACCCAACCCACCCTCACCCCCGGCTCACCTCCACGCAGAACCTGCCCTGGTGTGTCCTGAGGAGGCCGTAGGACACGACGCCGCAGGGCGCCCGCACCCACAGGCACCAGCGCTTGGGCAGCCCGGGCTCGGGGCGCAGCAGGAAAGCTCCGGGCACGTCCCGCCGGAGCAGCGCGACCCCCGCGTCCCTGGGGACGAGGCGGCGGGTGGGCACAGGGGTGGGCACAGGGGGTGGGGGGCGGTGGGGTGGGCACAGGGGGTGGGTACAGGGGTGGGCACAGGGGGCGAGGGGCGGCACAGGGGGTGGGGGGCGGTGGGGTGGGCACAGGGGGTGGGTACAGGGGTGGGCACAGGGGGCGAGGGGCGGCCCCCGCGCACTCACCTGGCGATGCCGGCGAAGGCCCACACGCTCTCGGCCAGGACGCTCTCGTTCTCGGGCAGGAGGGCCAAGCTCCGCGCGCCTTTGCTCTCCCATCCCGCCGCCGCTGCGGGAGCCCGTTAGTCCCCTCTTTGCCCCCAGAGCCCCCCGACACCGGGGCCGCGGGTGCCCCCCTGCCTCGGTTTCCCTGTGCCACTCACCGGCGTCGCGGGGCGGCTGGTGGAGCTGCCCCTCGGCCCCGCAGTCCCGGTAGGCCCCCGAGCGCAGCACTTTGCTGCGAATGGCTTTCTTGCGCACCAGCACCGGGGAGCAGTAGGGGTTCCCCGGGCGCCAGGAGCCGGCTCTGCCCTCTGCCTCCGGCCGCCGGTCCTGGGGAGGGGATGGAGGGGCTGTGAGAGGGGCTGTGGGCTCTGGCTGTGGGGAACGGCGTGTGAAACACCGTGCGGGAAAATAGGCCGTGGAAGAAACGCCAACACCGAAAAGGCGACGCCGAAGGCGCGACATCAAAGACGTGACACCAAAAAAGCAACACAAAAAAAAAGCAACAAAGATGCTGCGCCGAAAAAGCTACGCCAAAAATATGACGCCAAAAAATGCAACACCGAAAACGCGACGCCGAAAATGAGGCAAAGATGCTACAGCAAAGAAGCGGCACCAAAAATGTGACACCAAAAAAAAAGGGACACCAAAAATGCGACAAAGATGCGGCACCGAAAATGAGATACCAAAGGTGCAACACAAAAAATGCGACGCCAAAAATGCTACACCAAAAAATGTGACACCAAAAATGTGACACCAAAAATGCTACACCAAAACACCATGAAGAAAAAAATGCTATGGGGAAAAATGCTGTGGACAAACTGCAACGCCAAAGAGGCTGTGAAAAACACCATACAGAAGAAAATGTTGTGGAAAACACCATACAGAAAAAACGCTGTGCAAAACACTGTGCCTCAAAAATGCTGTGGAAAAAACTCAATAAAAAGGTGTGCAAAGCACCATGCAGAAAAATGCTGTGCAAAAAAAATGCAACATGAAAAAGCTGTGGAAAACACCATGCAGAGAAATGCTGTGCAAAAACTGCAACAAAATGCAACACCGAAGATGAGACATCAAAAATGCTGTGTAAAACACCATGAAAAAACAGAGTGTGCAAAAAAAAAGCCATGTGAAAGACATTGGAAAAAATGCAGTGCAAAAAATGCTATAAAAAAAAAATGCGGTCAGAAATGCCACGCAAAAAACACCCTGCAAAAATCATCCAGCAAAAAATGCCGTGCAACAAAATGAGGTGCTAAAAAAAAAGTGCAAGAAAGTGATGTGCAAACCATGATGTGCAGAAAAAATGCTGTGCAAAACACCACGGAAAAATACCATGCAAAAACCACCATGGAAAAGATGCCACGCAAAAAAAGGTCACGCAAAACATGCCATGCAAACAAACCACCATGCAAAGGATGCTGTGCAAAAAAACCCCAACAATGCAAAAAGGACTGTGAAAAACCCCCACTGTGCAAAAATGCTCTGCAAGAAATGTCACACCAAGACAGCCACGCAAATCACCATGAAAGAATGCCATGTAAAAAAGTTATATGAAATAATTCTGTGTAAAAAAAATTATACGGAAACACTCAGTGAAAAAAAAAAGTGCAGTGTGAAAATACCAGGGGAAAAAAGCCGTGCAAAAGTGATGTGAAAAAAAAAATTGCTATGCAAAAAAAAAAATTGCCGTGCAAACACGCCCGATGCCAAATTCCAGGCAGGAAAAGGCTGTCAAGGAAAAAAAAAACATCTAAAACAGAAGGTGAGGACGGGC